ATTTATTTTGTTGTAAAATATTCTTAGTATTATTTAAAATCTATTTTCATACCGAATTATTAGAAAATTTTAAAATAAAAAATGGTTAAAATAAAGTAGATCTATAAATATATAAAAATCATGAAAATGGACGCTCTAGATAATGTGTTGCAAAATGCACTATTTCCGGGACTCAAAAACAAATTTTTTTTTTTTTTTCATATTCATACATCTCGATGTCAAGATGATCGATTAGAGGGTTTTTTTGACATTAGAAAAACATTTCCGATAGATTTTTGAGGTGCATCTATGATTCTACATTTTAAGGTTGTAACCTTATTAAAACTTTTCCCATATATATATGGGAAAAGTCTATCTAGAGCCGAGGCTCTAAACAATCAAATTTGAGCCTACATCAAAAATTTCATTAGAAGATGTTTTTTTGATGCCTAAATATCTTCAAATAGATCATCTCGACATTAAGATGCATAGACATGAGAAAAAAACGGATTGCAAGTTTTGAAAATAGTGTATTTTGTAATGCATTTTTTTGCTGTCAATTTTCAAGATATCATAGATATGTCAATCTACACTATTTTTGAAGCTTTGAACTTGATAAATAGACATGGAAATATATTTTAAAGCTATCACAAAGATTTCCAATATTGAAACCACATTTTTTGAAGCTATTTGGAGGTAGGCTCTAATTTGATTGTTTAAGGGAAAAGTTTATATAGAACCGAGCCTCTAAACAATCAAATTTGAGCCTACCTCAAAAATTTCACTAGAAGAGGTTGTTTTTATGTTCAAATATCTTCAAATTGACCATCTTGACATCAAGAAGCATGGACATGACAAAAAAATGGATTTCAAGTTTTGAAAATAGTATATTTTGTAATGCATTTTTGGACCGTCAATTTTCAAGTTTTAATAAATCTGTCGATCTACACTATTTTTTAAGCTTTAAAATTTATAAATAAATAAAAAAATATATTTTAAGGCTATCACAAAAATTTTCAATATTAAAACCACATTTCTCGACACTAGTTGAAGGTAGGCTCTAATTTGAATGTTTAGAGTCTAGGCTCTATACAAACCGCACCGTTGTTTAAAGCCTAGGCTCTATACAAAGCCCACCCTATATGGGAAAAG